GCCTAGAAAAATATCCTTTGCTCTGCAATTCATAATCCTTAGGCCTATTAGCGGGAAGGAGTATCTTAAAATACTTCCGCCTCTCTTCGAAAAGTTTCTTTGGTGCTCACATAAGAGTGAATGGAATATTCCAATACTATTGAAATATCAATATAAGAGACATTGAGCATCCTTCCTTGAACGAGGTACATCAACACTGTAAGATATCTGATGTAGGTTGAGCGTTGCTAATTTTCACGTAATAATTTTTCCTTGATCTTGGTTCTGTATACGTGGTAAGGGGAGTAAAAATGGTGACTTCAAGATATTTCAGGTCTCTTATTGCTAGTTTCTTGGTTGAATTAGAGCTGTGCACACTTGGCGAAGGAACCTTGAAAATATGGCGTTATAGACAATTTACTGACTAAAACCCGTCATTTGTTAGCTTCAAAAATTTCCATTATGTTGGCATGATTTTGTCATTCACAATGCCCGGGATAGAATAACTAGTTCGCACAGCCTAGGTAATAAATCCAACTATATGAGATATATTCACACTATTTCGTTTAAGGTGACGAAGGACTGGTAAAAGAATTTTCCTACAAGCATATAAATAAAGCTGAAGTTTCCATTGAATTTCAAATAGCCTTGATTTCCCTAAATGTGTTTTCACTTAGGGTGAACTGAAGTTTCGGCCTCGCATACGTCTTATCAACACCCCCAGCTGGACTCGAACCATGCAGGTGCGGTGTGTAAGCCTGACACATAAATATTATGCCACATTTCCACGAGTGTCCTTGGGTCACAGGGCAGATGTGAATTTCAAGGTAGGCCAGGCACTTTCCCATATCACATTCTTTAGTGGGATTGTCGTTGAGGCAAAGTTATATTTGCCATCTCAATCCGCTACATTCCTTATTTTTCGTTTATGAGTAGGGTTTCGAGACTGTCAGTATACATGAAATGTATTCACTCTATTTCGTATGGGATGATGAGGGAGGAGGAAGTTTAATTTTCCCATCATGGCATGAGTAGAGCTGACGCTTCCGTTGAATTTCACATGGCCTTGCTTTCGCAAAAGTTCGAGTCCCGCTTGGGGTATTGATAAGACCTAGGCGAGGTCAAAACTTCAGTCCACTCTGGATGAGAACGCCTTTAGAGAAAGCAAGGCTATGTGAAATTAAATGGAAACGTTAGCTCTAATCATATCATTGTGGGAAAATTAGAATATCTTAAACGAAATAGGGTGAATACATCTCATATAATTTATTTACTGATAATCTTAAAACCCTAATCATGCACGAAAATAAATCCAACTACCCTACCATGCCTAGAAACACATAAATCACTTTTCTATCCCCTAATGCTCACAACCAGTATTCAGCTGTTTTCGACAGCCTCATATTATTCAATGTTAGAAGCTTATAGTTTCCTTTTATTTATTATTCCACCCCACTAGAACTGTTCATTTTATAATTGTGAATTCCCCACAGTAAATAGAGCGGATAAAACAGTCTCAAAGGGGATAGAAAAATGAATCAAGATTCTATTTTCTAAGTAAATTCGAAGATTGACTTGTAATTTAATTAAATGAGTGTATGACAAAATATTGTCTTTTCGTCCAAAAAATTAGCAGTGCTGCATTAGTGAATGAAATTACGTAAGGCTACACGACCAGTTAACAAATGGTTTGATGGTATTGCAGAGATGAGAGAGATTTATTTGTTCATCGGTACAAGTGAAGATTCAACTTCCTTAATGCTGCTGAATATGCATGGGATGTATCGAGAAATCGGGTATGCGCCCATCATAAATAAGTGCACACCTTTAGAGGACAAAGGAAAGCCTTCTATTCGATTGACCAAACACCACGACAAGAATCATCGTAAAGTATCATGTCCTGTTCTGACGATGTCAGTCAAAAAACGGACGAAATCTTAGCAAAGATTCATCGGAGTTGCAAGGCGATGCGGTGAGTATTTGTTTGCACAAATCTACGGTCAGAATTTCGAGGCAATCCCCTTCAGTTTTTAGTGAGGCCAACCAATGCATTCTTACTCTCCTCTT